TAGTCATATCAGAAGGGATTCGTGGATATTACGTGATTATACGCGCAAATTTTCATACTTATATATTTTGTGTAACCATTTGTAATCAAAATATTTTCTGCTAATTAATATTCGATTTTCATGTTAGTGATCTGACCTAATATAGTATCCAATTCCACTCATGTGCTGATTTTTGCTTTTCAATTGCAAGCGCAGCTGAAATCTCTGATCCATTCTTCAAGTATATTTTGTTACGGAATCCAAGAGCTAGAAACGTCAGCAACTTTATGTAGTTATCAGATTTTTTGACATTTGCTAATAATGCATCTTCTGTGTCTAGAGTACTGGTCGGTATAGAGGTGAATCTCCAATATTTATATATACTAGATTGTTAGTTATAATTATTTATGCTAATAAATCAACAATCAGTACTTAACATTATCGTTTCCTGTCTCGACAGAATACTGCTTACTTGACTAAAAAAACAAGGATTAGGAGTGACTGACGCCGTGTTGAATGTATTAAGTAACGCTGGTCTTACTAACAATAACCAGATATCCAAGAAAGTTATTATTGAATCGAGCAGTAGTTCAGTGTTCGAAAAGTTCAAGAGCAGCAGCAGAAATTACAAGCTTATTCACCTAATTAATAAGGACATAAGTGACATTAGGGGCGGGATCAAAATGTAAGGGGGTGGGGGGCTAACTAAATTTTCGGGGTTCGGGGCAGCGCCCAAAAGTATAGGTTCACGAGACATTGCAAAAATAAGTTTGTATTGAATATTTTTTTAATTAAAATGACACATATATATATATATATATATATATATATATATATATATATATATATATATATATATATATATATATAAAAAAAAAAAAAAAATATTTTTTTTTTTTCTCTCGCGCGCACATATGTGTGCGCGCGCGCGCGCGCACAAAAAAAATAGAGAGACACCCACCCACATATATATATATCGCGCGCGATCTCTCTTTTATGTATATATTTATTAAGTAAGTGTGTGTGTGTGTTTGGGGGGCGCGCGCGCTCTTTCCACACACACACAGAGAGAGAGAGAGAGAAATATATTTTTTATATGTGTGTGTGAGGGGGGGGGGGAGAGAGCGCGCGCGCGCGAGAGAGAGAGA